GGATGCTCAGCTTCCAGTAGGATCAATTAGTGTTAACACATAAACAAATGGGTATTTTTACTGTCTCAAAATTATATTTAAAATATTAAATAATTTTAACACTGTAGATGAACAAATTGCAATGTTATTAAGTGCTCCAGGCAAGGACTGCTGGAAGCTATGTATGAGTTTACCTGGTACTCAGCCTTCGCTTTAATGGGCTCAGTTAGGGCCTCCATAACATTTTATTAAATGCTTTATTTGTACCAAACAAAGTATTTCAATGACCATTAAGTCATTCCCTTTTAACAAAAGCCACTTAAATGTTAAAGTGGACATTTTCATTTGTGCAAACTGGAAAGCTTATCTTCCTGATGAGAGTAGCTAGATAACATTAAACAGTGTGTCCTAACATCATAAAGCTGTATTCATGATGGAAATCTTAAAATGGTAATCTTGTATGCTCTGATGCTACCTTCTGTTAAGTGTTTTATGGTTTTGGTAATACTTGCTTTAAGCTTTTCTGTTCTTTATCAAAATAAAAATTTAGTAAAGGCTGCCCTTATACTGGAGGATTAATTACTTCAGGTTCTCTCCTGCCATGTGATCAGAAGTACCTTGATTCCTTCTTAGTTGCCAGATACATATTTGGAATAGGATATATAAACAATTGTTACTTGACATTATGAAAACAAGGAAAGGCTCTGAGTCACTTACCATAGAAGTTGGCAAGGGGCTTGCTCCCATAGCAGAAGCTTTGATCCTGAATCTTCTCTCTCTGTCTGAAAGGCCTTTAGAAGAAGGATGGAAGGTAGGTGAGCTGGTTTGCTGGGCTGGAGTCTCTCCAAAGCGAAAGCTGCATGGAGTTAGACACTTGCAGTGCCAAGCAGGTGTTCCTGTTTTCTTCCTGTTTACCAGCAGCATCTTTTGAAAGGTGTAGAACACAACTAAAAGAACTTTCCTTTTGGATATTGCTAGAGGATTCATTGATCCAATGACCTTTTGGGTCTGAGGCCAGTTAGTTGTCTTTTTAATGAAACTTGGTTCCTGCCATGGGACCGTGCTTACACAGAAAGCAACTTGTGAAATATTCAAGCAACTTTTGTGAGTAAAAACTGGAGTGTGTATTGGTGATTTATATTACTGTTTTGACTATTGTGATCTAAACAAATCTATTTTGTTTTTTTAGTACTAAATTTGAAGCCCTAGTGTGTGAATCAAATATAGCTTTAACTTTGCTGTTTGCCTTTCAAGAATAAGTATTCACCCTTGGGAGTAGATGTGTATTGCAGTTCCTTGTGTATTACAGAGCTTCTAGTGTTTCTGGCCAAAATCAGTATTCCAATGTTGCCTTAGGGTCAGCTGATGCCTAGTGCCCAAGAGAAAACAATAAAAACTTTGTTACCAAAGGAAGCACAAACATAGGTAAAACTAAGGATTGTTGTAGGGGAGGTATGGGTTCTAGGGCTATGGTGACTGGGTTTGTAAGCACTCTAACTTTTGTAAATTTTGTTTTTAAAGTGAGATACATACACAGATGGGTGAGTGCTGGACACCTCTTTCCTGACTGATCTTGTAGTTCAAATCTGTCCTACATGTGTTTCTCTTTTCTCAATTTACTGTAAATGTAAATGTCTTCTGCCATCATGGATTCCAGGAGGTATAAAGCTTCCATTCAAACTGAAACCCACCATGCCATGCAACCCAAGCATGGTAAAACCTTTGGTACATAATCACTGCAGAATTGATTATAAGTTGCTTCTGGTCACACGACAGCAAGGTAGTGCACAAGGAAGGAGCATGTGCACACAGTGGTATGTCCTAATTGCTAAAGTAAATGTACTTTACATTCTTGCAGAGTGCTAACTTCTATGCATTTGGGGCTTCTTAATTTAATATTTTTATGGTTTCTTCCTGATGCATAGTGTGCAGGATACCTTTTAAATGCTTGCCTGTTCATATTGAAGTCTTAGGGCACATTCAGCACAATTGAAGTAGAAGAAATATGCTGGTGTGGTTTTTTTGGTTTTTTTTTTTTTTTTTTTTTTTGTAATTGCTTGTAGTATGTTATTACTATTCAGTCTTTTATGTTAAAATCCAAGAAATCTACTATTTGGAAACAGATTTTACTTTTGATAAAAATGTTACGTGCCTGTGTGTACATAGAGAGTATGTATGTAGCAATTAATCAAGAGTTAGATTGTTAAGGTGTACTAGAGGCATAAGAAACCCTAAGCTTTCTTTTATACCTTAATCTGTTCTGTAATCCTTTCTGTGACAGATCTTCAAGTGAGAGGATCCTCAAAGGAATCCAATCAACTGTGAAAAATGGAAAGGGGGGTGGAGAGAAGAGTTGTCACTTTTTAAAGGTTTTTTCCTTTAGGTTATTATAATTGGTTTTAATTAAAAATTTCAGATGCAAAATTATCTTGGTGGGAAGTATACTTGTATTAGTATGACAGATGTGTATAAAACACCAACAGAAAAATGTATTTGATGGAACTGTGCCTGTGAATATGTATGTAATATATGGAAAGCTAGATATTGGTTGTGTATTATTTCAGGTCCTCAAACTCTTTCCCTTCAGTGGTCCAGCAGGGCCTCTTACTCACATATATTTTGTTGGGTTTTTTTCCCTTCAAAACTTAGAAGTATATGGAAATGTAGTGTTGATGGGTATTTACAGGTGTCTATTCTAAATTTTATTGAACAGCCTTTTAAAATCTAAGCTGGTTTGTATTAATGAAAATTTTTAAAAATCTTTTTACATACAGAGTTTTCCATCCGATGAGGGCTGGCCATTTGCAAAGTACTTAGGAGCATGCGGAAGAATGGTGGCTGTCAATTACGTTGGAGAAGAGCTGTGGAGTTATTTTAATGCACCATGGGAGAAACGAGTTGATCTGGCCTGGCAATTAATGGAAATAGCGGAGCAGCTGACAAATAATGACTTTGAATTTGCACTCTACCTCCTTGATGTCAGCTTTGACAACTTTGCAGTTGGACCAAGAGATGGGAAAGTTATCATTGTAGATGCAGAAAACGTTCTGGTAGCAGACAAAAGGTTAATCAGACAGAGTAAGTGTCTTCTTTCTCTCCTCTCCCCTCCCCTCACCCCATGTCTTTTGCTTCTTTCTCGGCAAGCACAATATTTAAAGTATGTGTAGCTGCTAAATTCTCGTTTTGTTGGCTTTATAACCAGACTACTAATTAACAAACTAATTAGCTTTCTTCTGCAATTAGACTACTAATTAACTTGACCAATTTGTCAATTTTATGAAGTGTGGAGTCTACCTGAACTTGATTTACATATGCTTTTCATCTCTGTAATCCTGCTTAAATGGAGAGGTGGGGTGGGAAGAGAGGGTTTGGAGATTGGAGGGGTTTGTACAGATGGATGGGCAGATAGACAGGTAGGCTGGCTGATGGACTTGTCTACCTTTGCTAAAAGAGGGAGATGGCTCCCATCTTTTTCCAGATGTCTGTACGCAAGTCTTGGCATTCTGTTTTCTGTGAATGGCAAGACAGTCTTCCTGCCCACTTTGCCTTAGTTACATAGCCTGCCTCTTGTTCAACTGTGCTCTGTAATAATGGAACTGAAGGAATGGGAAATTTTAGTGCTGTTTCCAAATGGGAATGGTGAAAATTTGTTCATCTTTCTGTCAACTGTAAAAGCTCAAAGCAGCAGGAGAGATGTTTGACAAAGGGGTATTACATGGGTTTATATTCCTTTTGAGCTTATAAGGAAAAGTTTACAGACCCAAGGGCTGGACACATGAAACCCTAGATTCTGCAGAAGTTCATGGCAATAGGCCAAGTGATTCCAGTTTACTTTGGGTGAATGGATTTTTTTAAAAAAAAGTTTTGCAAATAGACTTCATATGCTGTGCTGCTGAATTAACTTGAAGACCATATTTTCTATCCACATACTTTCCTACAAGGAAGTATGTTTGGGGGTTTTTTGGTGTTTTTTTTTTGTTTGTTTTTTTTTTTTTTTCTAATAAGATTTATTATATATTCTCAAGGATCTCAGATTAAAATTATCTGAGCCTACCAAGAAAACTTTTCAATGTATTGGATATCCCGTACATTTACTTTAGTACTTATGGGCGACACAAATAAACTTTCTTTTTCTTTTTTTATTTCTTTTTCCACCATTTTAAAGTAATATTACTTAAGACTTTGAATTTTGGAGCATGTCACAAAGATAACCAAATGAACTCTGAAAAACTTGATGTGTACATGGAATAGAAGCAAGTGGCTTCTTGCAGAAGCTGAATGCAGAGTGTGTCATGCTTACATCTGGTCTATATTATTCAGACTAATTTGGATCTAACTAGGATTTTGCTGCATGATTTGTAATCTAATAATTAATCAAGAACAGAAATTAAGTTCTCAGTCTTTGTATAAACTTGACATTTAATACTGATTTAATTAATCTGGAAAGTTTCATTAAACAATCTCTGTCTGGAGTGGTTAATATGGATGATTATTTATTTGAATATGTACGTTCTGTCCAGTTGCACTGTACAGTAATATCTAATTGTACTCC